AAACTTCACTTGTCCAAAGTGGCCTCAAGTCACCTGGCCCATCACGCATGTGGTGAGTTAGAGAGCAGAGCCCCTGAGCTAAGCCAGGCTGTGGCAAACCACAGAACAGGGGGAAATGTAGGAGAGAGGTCCCTCACTGAGAAGACGCACAACACTGCCGTGCACTGCCTTACCGGTAAACTGGAGGTTAAACATGACAAAGCCTCAGGCTGGACATAGGCACGACTCCTGGGACTATGTCATGGGCTTTTATAAAGGAAAACTGAGCATCCCTCCACAGCCCTGCTGTTCTTCCTGAGGGCGGTGTCAGCAGCCGCAGGCCCCAAAGATCTCAGATGATGGCTTTAACCCAGGTACAAGAATGAAAAAGTACCAGGCATGGTGGTGCATAACTGTAATCTCAGTACCTGAGAGGCTGAGGCAGGAGGATTACTTTGAGTTTGAGGCCAGTCTGGACTACATAGTGAATTCAAGGCCAGGCTGTACACATAGAAAGACCCTGTCTCAAAAGGAGAAAGGAAAAAAAAAAAGAATGAAAAAATGCCTTTGTTCTATCCTACAGCAAATACCAGATTCGTTAGAAAACAGGAAGTAAAAGCCTCAGAAAAAAATATTCAGGAGGTGAGCTGGGGGTGGGGGCAAACATCCAAGAGCAATGTGCACACGGGCTAAGAACTCAGACCAGGATGGCTCAGGAGCCACAAAACAGGTCACCGAAAAGCACCAGAGATGCCACACATCCCGGAGACCTGGGGCCAGATCAGGAGATGAACCTGGGACCAAAGACGATCAAACAATGCTGAGGAGAGCTGCCCACGCTCTTGTTGCAGGGCTCGGCTTAAGAAAGAAAGAAATGACAGTGTGAAAAATAACAGGAGAGCATATAAATGATAGACACATAGATTAGATAGATAGATGATAGCTAGATAGCTAGATAATAGATAGATAGATAGATAGATAGATAGATAGATAGATAGATAGGACCATACTTTTTAACTCTTAAGAAATTTAGTTATGACAGACTGGGCATGGTGGTGCACACCTATAATCCCAGCACTCAGGAGGCTGAGGCAGGAGGATCACTGTGAGGAGGCTGAGGCAGGAGGATCTATCTATCTATCTATCTATCTATTATCTAGCTATCTAGCTATCTAGCTATCATCTATCTATCTATCATTTATATGCTCTCCTGTTATTTTTCACGCTACCAATTCTTTCTGGGCTACATAGTGAGTTCAAGGCCCACCTGCATTACACAGTGAGACCCTGTCTCAAAAATAAAAAAGTAATTTAGCTGAGTAAGTCAGTGATAATCAAAATTATTAACGATCCTCATAAAAATCTCTGATTTACAAGTGCTTCTGTAAACACAGCACCCTGTGTTCCTCTTGGCAATTATATAAGGTGAGTAGAGAAGAGGTGGTTATCTCCGCCTCTGGGGAAACTGGGGCTCACAGGAGCCACATGTGTTGTCCAAGGACGCAGCACTCACGCTTCTGACTGGCACCCAGGTTTTGTGAAGTGAGTCTCAGCCTGGCTTGTTAGAAGTGCAGCAACCCGCACAGCTTCTTAAACTGCCAGGGGCAGGCTGAAGCTCGGAGTGATTATATCAGACCCTCTGACGGGAGCCTCAGGCCTCAGCTTTTCTCAAAGTCCCCTAGGTGACTCCAAGGCACAGCCAAGGCTGAGATGACGAGCAGACAGCACCCTGGGAAACGAGCTTAAAGGCCATGTGGAAGCATCTAAGCGGGTGTAGAACACATACGACTTACAAAATTAAAGCACAGCTGCAAAGACTAGGCTTTCTTTGTGTGTTTCAAAAACATAGCAGAGTTTACAGACCCAACAAGTTTTGCCCGTGGCCAGAATTTCCTTTTATTTCAGATGCTGTCTCTGCTCAAAGCATGTGTAGAGCTTTCTGCTTTGTCAAGGTCTGCATCTTCTTACTACCCAGGCACCAGCTTGACTAGATTACGGGACTTGTGCGAAGGTAACTGGAGCATAGGCACCATATGCATTAGTGGGTCAACTCACCGATGTTCACAGCTACTGTCCCCGGGGCCATGTCTTTGGGGGTGTACCTCTCGCTGCACTCATCCCTGGGCTCTGCTTCCTGGCCACTGGAAGGGAGCGCCTTTCCTCTACTACACCCTTCTGCCGTAATAACTGCCTTGGATTCAGCCAACCACGGACTGAAACCTCTCCCTTAAGTTGTGAGGGCCATGTATTTTGTCCCAGCAATACGAAAGCAGGCTGGTGCACCATTCAAAGAGAAGTGTCATGAATAAATTAGGCCACCAAGCTAGGTAATTAAAAACAAACAGACTCCATATGATCATGATTCATAATCCACATTAAAGCCAATTCCTGTATAGACTTGCCAAAAGTTCAGAAGACAAATTTGAAGAATGTCGCTGACCTAGGTATATTCATTCTGCTCTGACTTTAAAAAAAAAAAAATCACTGTTTACACTTTATGGTGGTGTCTAATGTACAACTAACCCTTAAATTCAGATCCCTCAATTGCTAATATCTAACTGTGATTTTGAGCAGGTTTCCAAAGCTCAGTTTTTTTCACTGTAAAATGGGGTTAATGTCTAGCTCTGTCACATATGTTAAGATAAGATCCCACTTTTTTGCCTAACCTATAGTAGTTCAGGTTAGGCAAAAAAGTGACAAGCAATCACTCAATAAATGAGAGCTGTATTAACTTCTTATTTTTGCTGTCATAAATCACAACAAAGTTAGTAACTTAAAGCAGCTCAAGTTTATTACTTAATCTGTAGGACAAAGATCATAAATGGGTCTAAAATCAGAGTTTTATACTGTGTTGAAATAAATGTTTCATGTTGTGTTTCTATTTGCTAGCAATGTAAAATACAAAAAGGAAATTAAGAAAATATTAATTTATAGTAGCATCAAAAAAAAAATACCTAGGAATAAATTTAGCCAAGGTAGCAAAAGACTTGTATACTCAAAAGTACAAAATATACAGAAAAGAAATTAAAGAAGATGTAAATACATGAAAACATATCCCATGTTTATGAATTAGAATTACTTTTTAAGATGATTACCTAAAACAATCTACAAACTCACTGCAATTTCTATCAAAACCCTAATAATATTATTTCAGAAATAGAAATCTGCATCCTAAGGTTTCTACAGGGTCTCAGAGAAGCCCATCCAAAAATAAATCATCTTTAAATGGAAAATTATATTTGAAGAATGCATAGTTCTAATTTTAAAGTACAAAGCTATATTTACCAATAATGTAAAAAAAAATACCAATAATGTGCAGTTGGAATAAAGGCAGACTTCAGACCAATACAATAGAATCAAGAGCTCAGAAATGAATCCTCACTTTCATCGTCAGTTGATTTCTGTCCAGGGGCTGAGACAATTCCATGAGGAAAGGGCAGTCTCATCAACAAACGGTGCTGAGAAAACGAGTTATCCACCAACAAAGGAATGAAGTCACTGGATGCTATATATACTTACATTACATTATATACAAGAATTAAACGAAAAAGGGTCAGAGACCCAAAAATAAGAGCTAAAACTATAAAAGCCATAGAAGAAAATAAACAAAACTTCCGTGACATTGGAAGTCATAAAATATCTTGCCAATGACACGAAAGCCAAGGCACCAGAAGAAAAAATGAATCAAATGAACCTAATCAAAACTTGAAACTTTTTGTGCATTACAGAACCCTACTGAGAGAGCAAAAAAAGAAACTCACATAGCCACAGAAAATACTGACAAATCATAGAGCTGACAGGGATTACAGGCCAGAATTTATCAAGAACTCCTGCAGGTCAACAACAACAATGACAACAGCAACAGGCAAAGGACTCAAACAGACATTTCTCCAAAGAAAATGCAACAAATGGCCAACGAGCCACATGAAACCACATGAAACCACCCTCAACACCTTAGTCACCCGACCCAGGCCAATCAAAACCCACGAGACACCACTTCAACCCACTGAGATGGCTTCTATACAAGCGCCAATGAGCCAACAGGAAATAACAAGTGTCGGCGAGAGGGTGGAGAAATGAGAAGCCAGTGCGTCTCTGGGGGGAATTTCACACCGTGAAGCTGCTGTGGAAAATGTACGATTTCCATTCGCCTGACTGCTTCAGCCCACAGGACGGCGTGGCACTATGACTGCCATGCAAGGGCATCAATGCGGGTCCCTGAGGTTTTAGGAAGCCCACACTGGTCACTTCTGCGGGTCTTCCATAGAGTTTGAAGAGAGGCCCTTTCTTGATAAATACCAATGCCATCCGGCCCCAGGGCTTGGCCTTTCTGCGCTCAGAGTTTCTTCTAGCCCTAACCCAGATTTCACAGTGCCCGGGGAACTGTGTCCGATAGTAGCCCTTCCTGGGACAAGCTTAATCCCTTTTAACAACTTGGAAATCACCTGCAGTCGGGAAGCGTCTTCGTGTGATTCTCCCCATGCTACCACCCAGCATCTGCGCAGCAGGAATTCCAAGGTACTGGTGGGATGGAGGAAGGGCAGGGCCGAGTAGAAGGAAGCCTGGCCGATAAGGAGCTACACAAACAGGACAGGAGGGTCTGGCAGGGAAAAGAGCTACCTGAGGTTACCTAGAGCTTTGATGTCCCAAAACCACACACCTCTGGACCCTTCGATGACCCAAAATCCCAGCTCTGGGAAAAGATGCGTTTTCTAGAGGCTCTTCCCAGCCCCCAGCTCAGGCCCCTCCATTCAGACCGGGAGACAGCAGCTCTGGAAGAAGCCAGACCAGGGGAGAAATGCGAGAATGTCCAGGGGACACAGGGTCTGCAGCCCCACATCCACCCTGCCCTCCTGCCTGCTGGCCACTCTGCCTCACCGCGGGACAGGGTGCCAGGCCAGCTTCTGCCTGCCAGGCACAGACCAGCTCCTGTCCCCGAGATGCAGGTCGTCATCCTGGGATGTGACTTGCTGTTGTTTTTAAAGTCCTGAACAAATGAATACAGCGAGAAGAGCACCAGGTTGCCAGGAAAAGTGCGTTTATTAGGAGGCTGCAAGGGAGGGGCACCGGCACTTCAGAGAGCTGGGCAAGCAGAGAAAGAAACAGACCCCATAAAGGAAAGGGCGGGCAGGGAAGGGTCTGTAGCGGGCAGGGTGGCTGGAGGCTCCTGGTACGTTTGCTGGCTGCCACGCAGGGGCTGCTCCCGCCATTCAACTTATGTTTTTGGGCTGCCTTTGTCGAAGGGATCCCAGCCAGCTCTGGAGCACCAGGCCCTGCATCCTTGCTGCTTTAGTGTCCCTGGGCCCTAGCGCACGAAGGAATTGCACGGCCCACAGCGCGGGCGAGGGACGCAAGGTGTGCAGGGGGCAGGGGGCGGGCAGGGGGTGCAGGGGTTGGCGACGCAGGGCCCGATGGACTTGCCGCACGCATTGGTCGTGGCACAGGGGTTGCAGGGCAGCCTGCGGACAAAGAAGGATGCAGAAAGGTGAGGTAGGGGGGCGCGGATCCTATGCCAGAGAGACCCCAAAAGCAGGATGCCTGCCAGGACTCAGCCTGACCTAGGGCAGGGAAGGCCTCATGCCCGCTGTGCAAATCAAGCATGTTGCTCATGCATTTCCTGCCATACAGCAGTGCCCACGGTGCCAGACAGAAGCTCTGCAGCTCTGACTTCTACCCCCGTCTGCCCACTGCTAGCTGGTGACCTTGGGCGTTACCTTCTCAAACTCTATTTTCCTTAGCTACAGGGTAGAAGAGGCCGGGCCCAGCCCGCCTGGTGGTAATAGGAGGCCAGATAAGGGTGTGCAGAGGGGTGAACCCTGCACCCAATAACCAGTACAGCCAGCCACACTCAGTGCATGTATCAAGCAATCCTTGCTGTCAAATAACTTCGTGTGTTTAACGATGGGCCTTTGTGCTCCCTAGGTCCAGCCTGGGCAGCACTGCTGGGAAGACACAGCTTCCTCTCCAAGGTAGGCAGGGCGGCAGAGTCCGGCTGAGCCTCCCACCCACGCAAGGGGGCCTCAGAAGTCACCGCCAGCGCCCTACTCACTTGCAGTCCTCGCTCTCCAGCAGCCCCCGGTACGTGTTGATCTCGCACTCCAGCCGCGCCCGCACGTCCAGCAGCACCTGGTACTCCTGGTTCTGCCGCTCCAGGTCACTCCGGATCTCCGCCAGCTGCGACTCCACGCTGCTGATCAGGCGCTGCACCTGCGCCAGCTGCGAGCCGTAGCGGGCCTCGCTCTCGTTCAGCGTGTTCTCCAGGGAGTTTCTCTGTGGGGGAAGAGAAGGTGTCAGGGGCCGCTCCCTCCAGGGTCCCTCCGGGGGCCTCCAGAGAAGTCCCAGCTTGGAGACCCAAGGGGATGCGCGGCCCAGAGGGCGCCAGGGCCGCCCCTGCGGGGCCTCCCGAGGCTGCCGGCAGGGCTGCCCCACACGCACCAGGTTGTGCTGGGCCTGCAGCTCGATCTCCAGGGCGTTGACCGTGCGTCTCAGCTCGATGATCTCCGCCTGGTAGGACTGCAGCTGCTCGGAGCTCGACACCACCTGCTTGTTCAGCTCCTCGGTCTGGAATAGCCAAGGGGGCCGGGCGGACACAGTGTCAGATGCTGCCTTCAGAGGCCTGGGGACCTGGGAGCTGCGTGGCCAGGAGCTCCGATGCCCACCTGTGTGGTGTACCACTCTTCCACCTCCCTGCGGTTGGTCTCCACCACAGCCTCGTAGGTGCTCCTGACTTCGTTGAGCACGCGGTTCAGGTCCACGGAGGGCGCAGCGTCCACCTCCACGTTGAGGCGGTCCCCGAGCTGGCAGCGCAGGGTGTTGACTTCCTGTGGAGGCATAAATGCCAGGGTTACCACCCTGAGTGAAGAATGGACCCTTGGAAAACACAATGCTTGGAGTGGATCCCACATTCATCAGCTCTGAGATATAGATATAGATAGATAGATAGATAGATATTCGGCCTTTGGGAGAAGAAGTGGCTTTGCACAGCGCCAGTGCAGCCATGAGGGACCCATGCTACAACTCCACGACAACTACCGCCAGTGCAGGTGCCCTGTCACCAGGGATGCTCGGACCCTGAGGGAAAGGATAGGGCCTGTGTGGGCACACAGACAGGTCTGCTGTCTCTCTCAGACTCTTCTGTCATCGTGAGGCTTTGGTGTTTTTAAAGAAAATGCATGAACACATCCTCCGCCTTTACTTCGCTGCTCTAAATCCACAAAGCTCCCCTTGACGTGGCTCAGGCATCTTCATCGCTCATCTGCGGTCTCACCTCCTCGTGGTTCCTCTTGAGGCAGAGCAGCTCCTCCTTCAGCGACTCCACCTGCGCCTCCAGGTCAGACTTGCACAGGGTCAGCTCGTCCAGGATCCGGCGCAGGCCGTTGATATCCGACTCTACCAGCTGCCGCAGGGACAGCTCCGTGTCGTACCTGTATGAGGTCAGGGTTAAAGCAGAAACTAACAGCCTTGCAAGACTCACAGGACTGATCCCTGATAACGCCCTGCTGCCTCCAAGGAGCAGACCTTGGCGGCAAATGCTCTGTCAAGACCTCATACTGGTCCCAAAATAAGCAGATTGATTTCAGTGCTCGTCTATTGCTCTGGTTCCTTCGCTTTGTCCCCCTCGATTCCCCATAGAATCCTGCACACCCGGTGGATTGAGGGGTTGCTCGGTAAAGCTTTGATCTCTCTCTTTACACCAGAGATAACAAAAAGAGGGAACGCTCGTGTGGACTGTGCAGAACTCACTTGGTCCGGAAGTCGTCTGCGGCCAGCTTGGCATTGTCGATCTGCACCGCCAGCCGGGCGTTCTCTGCCTTGTTGCAGAGGGTCTAGAGGGGAAGACATTGCTTAGTGAGATGGAAAAGAAATGTGAGACCATAAGATACTTCTTTTAAATGAAGGGAAAGGGAAAGGCTAGAATGCTGAGCACCTAGAGGCGAGGGCCCCTTCTGCACCCAGGGTGGGAATTGGCCCAGCTCCCCTAGCGGAAAGACGACAGCCAGGCCTCACCTTCTGCTGCAGCTCCTCGATGGTGCGGAAGTAGGACTGGTAGCTGGGGCACAGCAGGGGCTCCTGCTGCTGGTTCCGCTCCTGGATCTGCCTCTCCAGCTCCGCGTTCTCCCGCTCCAGCTCCCGCACCTTCTCCAGGTAGCTGGCCAGGCGGTCGTTCAGGAACTGCATGGTCTCCTTCTCGCTGCCGTTGAAGGAGCCCTCGCAGAACCAGTTGCAGTTGCCCACATTGGCGGGGATGTTGCAGGCCCCGGGCAGGGTGCAGCCGTGGCAGCTGGGGGGAATGCAGGGCCGGGAGGAGCAGCTGGTGCGGCAGCTCAGGTTGGGCAGGCAGCAGTTGTAGGGCATGGTGCTAGGGGAGTGAGGCACCCGGCCGAAGATGAATCCAAATTCTCCAAGCCGCAGCACTGTGGAGCTCCTTCTCTGGCCGTAATTTATACTTCTTCTCCAGAGGGTGTGGACACGGTATGTGATATCCTTTCTCTTTGTACTTCTTCGCGGATTTGCAGACGCCCTGTTCTTCAGTCTGTTATTTGCTTTCCTCAGAAGAGTCCCTTGTCCCATAAAATTCTTTACTTGGGCTTCTTGCGAAGTCAGGACTCTGTGTGGGCAATACACCCATGAAACCAGAGCTCTGTGGTAGATCTTCAAAAAGGCCAAGCCGTCCAGCCCTTGGTAATTAGGTGTTGGTCCATCCAGTGCTGCTCTTTGTATCACATAATCCTGCAGACCCATAATCACCCCATGTCCAGGCCCACCTGGCACTTCTTGGGAGAGACAAACTGGGTTGAGGAAGAACTGGTATTAAGTTTCAACACTCGACTCCCTTCCCCTCTGCTCCCACAGGAGTCTCTAATTGAAGCAGCACCCAGGCTGGAGAGGGTGATGGCGGTAAGGGTTAGGACTGATGTGGGCTGGGGAAGAAATGGTGTGTGCTCTAGGGCCCCCTGTTATCACTTACGACAATTGCCAACAAGAGGCCTTTAAAAGCAAAGGCTCTGATCAATTTGAGAGCAGAAAAGTTCCCGGAAGAAGAGACAATTTTTGACAAAAGACTCAGAAGTACACACTCAGCAGTCGTGTAAATGCATTAAAGCGTCCCAGAAAAGCGTCTGGAGGCCGACACGAGTAAGGAAGTGTTGATCGCTCGTTCCCACTGGGTCTCTGTCTCACCCCAACAGTGAGCGGGCCCATCGGGGAAGTCCAGGGAGAGCCCAGAGGGGCCTGCACAGGCGTGACATCGTTTGACTTGCACCGTCACGTGAATTGACGTGATATCCATAATGTGCCCGTGCCAGGTCTAACGCTCACCACTGTGTTTAAGTTTGCAGTTAAACCTTCTAACATTTCCCCAACTCTCACAGGGATATGACACAGGAAAATGATGTTCCCTGCGCTTCACTGGGCATCCCAGCCCCAGCCCCGCTGGCTCAAGTGCACTGCTGTCAGAATCAGAAACATGAAGCTCTGCACCAGAGCAGGGCTGTCGCTATACCACTGAGTCCCAGGGTCTGGGTCCCAGGAAAAGAGATGCTGAGCTGCCGCAGCAGGGGATTTTGCAAGGCCAGCTGGAGTTGATTTGGGAGGTGAGGAGAGGCGGAGGATCTGAGGAAGAGGCGGCCCGAGCCAGGGATGTATAAAAGCTACATAATTACAGGCACCGCTGGGTACCACCTGTGCCTCCGGAGCGGCTCCCAGCCTCCACTGCGGCCTGGGCTGCAGACAGGGCTGCCACCTCCTGAGGACTTATGGGCTTCCTTCTCCCAGGATCTCTCGTGGTCATATTCCTGTGGCCTCAGTCAGCGCCCCAGATAAAAGGTCTTGCGCCCGCCCTGCGCAAGCCCATTATCACCACTTATTAGGATGCCATTCGGATGAAAAGCCCCACCACACTACAAAGGAGCCCTGGACTTGCAATAAAATCAAATTGTCTTTGTTTTCCTCCAACACAAGGAAAGGGGAGACACAGGCAGGCCTGGCGGCAGGTGCCACCAAGAGGCTCCAGTCAACAGATGCAAGACCAGGCAGCGGCCGGCAGCGGGGAGCTCCTGTCTCCTCCCATCCACCCGCCCAAGATGAACGGGGATGAGGCTGCATCCAAAGCACAGCCCTCCCTCTGGGGACCTGCAGGGCCCCTGCTTCTTTCCAGCTGTCTTCGTCTTCCTCCACCTGTCTTCGTCTCCACGTCTCCCTGAGCACAGACTAGATGCCAGCAGCCTTCTCCAACCACCGAGGTCTTCTCCACCAGCTGCCCAGTGTGGCCTTGTGCCGGCTTTAGATTAGACACTAAATCTGAGAAGAATCAAGCAATTGTTTGCTGGGAAAGCAAAAACAGAACTTCCGACAAAGCAGAGAGTTCAGAGACGTGGAGAGAGGGCTGGGGAGCGGGAGAGGTGTTTCAGGAGAGAAGGACACAGAGGCGAGGAAGAAATTTGAATCCAGTGAAGCCAGTCCTCTGCAGAGGGGCTAAGCTGGACAGCAAAGCTGAGAAGCCCCTGAGACACGCTGAGCTGACGACAGCTGGGCCTGCCAGGGTCCTGTGGCTGTAAAGGACCTCACGCATGAGTGACCCGTGGACTATGACCTAGGACCACACGCCAACCCCTAGACGCTCCTGATTTCCTGCTGCCTGCCCGCGGAGAGGAAATGGCACACGCCATCGGGCGGAGGCTGCGGAAGCCCAGCCGGTGAGTACACACGGGCTGCCCTCACTTGTGACTGATCCTGGCCTCTTTCTGGGGCTTCCAAAATCAACAGATGTGAGCAAATTTGCTGAGTTCATGGGGGACGTGGGACTCCAGGGCAGTGAGGTCCCCAGGACCGCACATGGGGTAGAAGTAGACTTAGTGCACTTTCTCAATTCCTGCATTGGAATATTTGCAAGATTTATTATTTCCAGAGAAATCGAGAGAAATCGAGCCATCAACAGGCTGTCGAACCCACACTTCTTTATCTGGTTCAAAGTGGGCCGGGGCACATTGATGAGGAAGCTTCTCCATGCTGGGCACAGACCTGAAACAAGAATCGCAGTTCTATAAAGGACTAGCCGCTTACGATTAAGACAGGTGAACAGAGTCCCTAATATATACACAAAATAGCCAAAGGGTAAGGGGACAAGCTGTTCAAAAGATGTGAGATGGGCATTTGGAAATACACTTGTTTTTAAAGCAATTACAAATTTCCACCTATGCCACTGAAGGCAGCAGTCATGTGTGGAACATGTGCAGCGTGTCTGACGCGGTCCCGGGGCAGGGGACATAGTGGGGAGGGGGCACAGCACAACTCTTGGACCTGCTGTGCAGAAAACGTGGTATAGTTTCACTGGGCTCTCAACGCCCTAAATTTCCTTCCCTCTCCTCCCCACCCTGGCTTCTTCCCAAACTCCTCCCGCCCCCAGCTCCAGTCCAGCCTCTGCTGGGGGACAGGGATAAAGCCATGTGACCATAACCCCCGCTTCTGAAAGGAGGTGTACCTGCGCCCCATCCTTCCCATGACTCGAAGGCAGGGCTCAGCAACCTGAGCTCATTGGAATCAGAACACCCTTAAGAACCTTTCCCCCAGGCAGTCCCCAGTAAGCAGTTACTGGAACTCTGGTTCTTATTGCTCTGGGGACCACCGGCTGGGCGGTGGCAGTGGCTATACATCAGCCCCGTGGCCTCCCCCGAGGTATGTTTTTAAGAGGTGCAAAGGTGCTCAGCAGGTTCAGTGGGAGAGGCTACGCCAGGGAGGTGGCAGGGGCGGAGGAGGGGAGACTGCAGTGCCAACCAAGCCTGTGAGAAGGGGAAATAGAAAAGAAAAGAGGGTGGAAACAGAGGTGGCTCCGGCACCGGCCAGGAGCAGAGAGACCCAGCTCTGCCCCTCCACACCAGGGACAGCTCCCGGGTGGGCCCGTGGGAGGCTACTGTGTGCCCCTGAGGCAGCTCGGAGAGGCGGTCCGAGGCCAGGGGAAGAAAGAGGAGGGCAGCCAGGCGGGTCGGGCACAATAACCAGAATAAAGGGGAAGCCTCAGCTGAGGAAGGCCCGGGGAAAGCCCCGCCTGAAGTGGTGCTTGTGGGCGGAGGGGAGGGTGCAGGATCCGGACGCCTGGAAGATGACTCAGGAAGCGCCCAGGCTGGGAGTGCGGTGCATGAGACCCACCCCAGCGTTTGAGGGGGGCTGAGTGCAAAGTCCCGACAGATGGCCCTTCGCCAAGGCAGCCGGGTCAGGGGAAAAGCAATGGGCTGGAAACAAGAGGGCGCAGGCTGTGGAGCTGCTGGGACCCTGAAGGTCATCTCGCTGTCTCCCTGAGTCGGAGCTCCTCCCTCCGCACGGTGGGGATGGTGCTGCCGGCCCTGCCTCTCCTGCGGCATTTGGGCTCACGCTTTGTAGATGGCAGAACAAGATTTCTGTTCTCTTCTTCAAAAGACACAGTGGTCTTGGCAGGGGCGGAGGTGGACAAAACCTTGGCGATTCCCAGTCATTACCGTCGCCAGGGACTCTACAGCAGCACAGAGAGCGCTCATGGCTCGTTCATCCGCAGTGGCATGAATTCCCGGGAACGGTTCCCGTAACAGGATGGGTCTGGTGTCCTTCAAGGAAGGGAACCCAAACGATGGGATAATTATGACCGTGCCACCCCACTGACAACAGCGTGAGACTTGGCTTCTGTAGCGCAGCGGCTAAGGGCACGGCTGCTGGACAAAGCCACACAACTCTGAGTGCTGGCTTCACCACCCAGGAGCCTCGCGGCCTTGCGTGTGTTCCTCAGCCTGCCTGAGCCCCGACTCCTCGTCTACAAAAATGGGGAAAGGATAGCATTGATTCCGGGGATTGCTGTAAGCGTGAAATGGGTTTACATAATCTGGGTTTACGTAAAATGGGTTTACGTAGCTCAGCCTCCCTGTAATCTGTGCACGGCTCCCAGGAAGAGCTCAGCCGGCATTCTCCAATGTCAGTGACGAAGGCGGTGATGACAGTCACGATGCTGGTGTGGGTGAGGATCCTGATGACCTGCTGGTGTCCAGAGAAGAGCCTCGTGCTCTTTTCACCCTCACCCTAGGTGTAACCACCCCCCCGTGCCCGGCGTCTCTTCTCTCATAACACGCGCAGAGGGTGCACTCCTCATCTTCCCACGAGAAGCCCCAGAGCCTTGGGTGTGGACTGCAGGGGCCCAGGTCAACCGCCCTGGGCCCCTGTCCCCCGGGCCCCAAGAGCACCCTTCTACCCAGGAGTGACTCACCCCTCCCTCCCCCTGAAGTGGGAAGAACCCTGCTTGCCGACTCTGTCCTGGTGCAAGAATAAGTGGGTTTATTTTGTTAGGCAGCTTTGAACTTGCTGGATGAAAGGAGCTACTTAAGTACAGAGGAGGGTGTTTGGGCCAGGTGCTAAATTAGAACTGAGCTGGATCGCTT